CTGTGGCCCCTGCACCCCCGCCCCCCAGCCCTGAGGTCAGCACACACACCGTCGCATTCATTCATGTGTATGCTGTTCCCATCGCACATGTGCCCTCCCTGCACACACACACACATGCACGCACGTGCTCATCCCGCTCCTACACCCCTGCCCGCACACACATCCGTATGCTCCCACCCGCTCATACCCCTCCCGGACACCTATCTGTTCACATCTCGGGCACAGACACACCCTTTCACGCCACTGACAGGCTCACATCCACGTTCACATACTCTCCTGTGCACAGTTCAAACCCCTTCTGCCCCTGTTCCCCTCTGATACACCCCTGAGCTGCGCTGTTGCACGTTCCTACACACAAAAGCATCTTGTGCACACGCTCATGTGCATACACTCCCACTCAGTGCCCCATGCACACGCGTGTAAACGCTTGTGCTCAGCACACGTGCACACGTGTACATACTCCCGCATCTGCCCTCTGTCACTCCTGTGTGCGTACTCCCGTCCACACTCCTGACTACACACTCACACAGCTGTCAAATCGTAACTCAGAAGATGCCAAAGGCGGCACTGATGAGGTGCTGCCGTGTTGGGGGGATAAACCAGCAGCTCCCCGAGGATGGCCAGTAATAATCGTAGTCGGGGAAGGGGGTTGCTGAACACCGGGCACTGCCAGACCTCCAGCCATAGCCTCCCAGGCCCCAAGCTCCTTGAGTCTGTGGAAACCTGAGGGGTGGCCTCCGGCCTGTCCCCGAGGCCCCTGCTCTGGGGGCCTACCACTTCCTGGGGGCAGGCCAGCTGCCATTGCGAGTGGCAGTGAGCGCCTGTCAGGGAAAGGCTGGCTGCTCCTCCGCGTCCTGATGAGACAGGCTCTGGAGGAATCACAGCCAGAGATCACAGTGGCCCTGTTTCCCTCCTGGCACGTTTTGGTTCTAAGTTGATTTGGTTTTGTTTTTTTTTCTATTAGAAAAGCATCCATGCTTATTTTTTCACTTCTGATGAAATTGTTTTCATCTTTTCTTCATCTCAAAAACTACGCATGAATGTTGGAAAGAAAAATCAAAGATATCTTCCCAAGTCTGATGGTCAGTTGTCAGTCCCCGTCTCTCACACCCTCCTTGGCCTTCTCGTGGAAGACCCAGTAGATGGGTGGTGGGAGAGCAGGTCATGGGGATGGGGGCAGGAGATGGGGTCAGAGATGCCAGCAGGAGTCCCTTGTTTAAAGGATTGGGGCTCATTCCAAGTGTAAGCATTGGAGTTAGTTCTTTCAAGTCTATCTTCTCCACTCGTGTGCAGGCTCAATGAGGCCAGGACCCAGCCGTTCAGCAGCCCTGAGCTCAGGGCCTGGTGCATAATAGATTCCAGTAATGCATCACTGACCGGCCCTGCGCTGTGGTCACTGAGTTCCTCTTACAACAGATTCTACCCACTCTGCTGACTTCTTCCATTAGATACTCACTGGTTTTATTTCATTACTTTAATATTTTTCCAAAAGCAATAAATGTTCATGCAAAGAAAGAGAGAGGGAGAGAGAGACTTCAATATATTATTTACTATGAAGTAGAAAACTTGGCTTCTCCTGTGCCAGTCCACCCCAGTCCCATTTCCCAGAAGTAACACACCTGAATATCGTGGGGTTTACCATTCTAAGCCTTTTTCCTAGACAATTTGATTGGTCAGGCTGTAAATATTTACTGAGCATCTGCTCTGTGCCAAGCACTGCATCAGGAGCTGGGGAAGATAGCAGTGAACAAAACAGACAGAATTCCTACAAGGGAGGTTCATTTACGTAATAAACACACATGTAACATACACATTACATGTATAGATTTTTCTCATTACAAAATGGGATACTGTAAATTTTCTTTGGTATTCATCCATTTAGAAAATCTGAAAATATCCAAAATAGAAGGAAAAAAGAAAACCCCATCAGTTTTAGATTCATGATCCAAAGAGAGTTGCATTTTGTAGTTTTGTATGGTATTTGCAGTGGTTTATTTATACATAGTTTATTTTATACGTACATAGTTTATACGTAGTTTTAGTCTACTTTACAAAGTCATGATCATACTGAAAGCAGTTTTTCTTCTTTTTTATAGCACAAGTAACACAAGCAGAAACCATGAAAGCAAAAGCCCTTAGAAGTCTACTCACAATCACTGCTGTTCTTTAGTATCAGATATACATTTTTGTCAAAATTAGAAGTTTGGGATCACACTGAAAACATAGATCAGTAACTGACTCTGATCTCATGATCTATTTCTGTGTCGATAATTATAATCGTTTCATTACATGTACACTTGATCATCACGTGGGTTGACCATCATGGCATCAGTCAGTCTCCTTTTCTTGGAAACTAGGATATTTCCAATTTTTCATTTTTATAAGAACACCTGAATGAATGAAGCAAAATGTTTGCACATATCTTTCGTAAGTGAGTATGATTTTACTTCGCTTTTATTCACTCGTCCTTTTAACAACATCAAAGTGTTGATTGCAGTTATCTTTGATGGTATTCTATGGGATTATTATTCTGTTTATACTGTTTTGTTTTTTTCTAAATACTTTGCAATGAACAAATTTTATTTGCATAACCACCATGTCATTTAAAATTATACCATGCAGAAATTTCCAGATTACTGCAGTTTTCATGGTGATGATTTTTGATGGCTACCTGTAATTCCATGGAGGGGACAGGCCACAGTTCACTGGAACCATCCGGTGTCAGCGACCACTTGGGTTTTTCTCCAACTTTTATACAGTTCTTCTGTGGGAACCCTACACCATATTTGAGGTTATGTCCTCGTGAAACAGTCCAGCAAAGGCTGGTGAACATCTTTCATACCTATGGTCCATTCTGCCACATTCTGGACACTGCTTTCCCAAAAGGATGTTCCCACTCTCACCAGCAGCGTGTGAGGCTGCCTGTCCAGCTTCCCTTCTCTCCTGGATACGGTTCTGGCCCCTGGATAGTCACTCTCTCTGCCAGGAGGGCAGGAGAGAGCGGGAAATGGGTTTGTCAGTGATGCCAGCGTGATGACCCCAAGCCCAGAACCGCAGGAGTGATTTTTTAACAAGCCCGCTTCCCAGAACAGAACCTGCAGAGAGAAAGAAAAGCAAGCGAGCGAGGGAAAAACTCTGCTGGAAAAACACACACTCACCCAGATTAAAATAATATTTGGCACTTACGTCGCACTTTTAAAATTCTTCAAACGCTTTATAAACACTAGCTAATTAATTAAGCCTCCTAAATCTGGCTGCAGTTGGTGGAGAGAGCTTGAGAGGAGCTAAAAAAAAAAGGGGGGGTGGGTAGGGAGCAGCCCTACACCACTCCAGATTTTATTGTCGCCTCCCTGGGTGTGACTGCGGGCCTCCGGCTCAGCCTGGCTCAGCCCGCCGCGGCACCTCCTCTCCGGCTCCCACGGCTCCCGCGCCAGCTGCTGACTCACAGCCCCGCACCGTGGTATTGATATGGGTAATAATAACTGCCATTTATTACCGCGTCTGTGGGCCCGGCGCCGTCCCAGGCTCCAGGCTCGCGCTGTCTCCCAGATCTGCCTGTAGCAGCGCCTTTAACAGATGAGGAGAGAGGCTCAGGGAGAGGGTTTGCCTGGGAGCACGTGAAATCCTTCCTTCCTTCCTTCACTAATGTGATCACTCAACGTGCATCTATTGAGGGCCTGGTGTGTGCCAGGCAGTGTTCTAGGCAGGGGGATGGAAACAGTTCCTTGTGGATCCTACGTCCTGGGGAGGGTGTAGCCAGTGGTAGAGCATGTGCTTAGCATGTGTGAGGTCCT